AACTAAAATTAAAATTTTAATAATTAATTTAATATAATTAAAAAATAAAATAAAAATCATAAAAAATCTTAATTAAAAAAAAAAACAAAAATTATTTTATATAAAGATATATATAAGAATAAATAAAAGTTTTATAATTTAATTGTTTAAAAAAAACTAAAATAATTAAGAAAAGTAATTTTTGACTAATATCAATAATTAAAGAATAATACATGAATTTTACATAATATTATGTATTAATTAATACAAAAAATTTAAATAAAAATTTATAATAATAAGAATAAATATGTTAATTAAAAATAAAAAATAAATTAATAAATAATATAAATAAAAATAAAGATATAAAAAAAATTAAAAAAGAATTTAAAAATAAAAAATAACACTAAAAATTATATAATAATTTATTATAAATAATTAAAAAATACATTATATAATAATTATAAATATATTTAAATTTATTTTTTATAAAAATAAAATAATAATAAAAAAAGATTATTTAATATAATAATATTTAAAAAAATAAAAAAAAAAAGTAAATTTAAAAATTAAAATAAAAATAAAAAGAGTATTAAATAAAAACATATATATAAAAAAACTAAATATATAAAAATTTTATATAAAAATTAAAAAAATATATATATATATATATATATATATATATATATATATATACTTATATATACTAATATAATAATAAATAAATATATTATTAATTATAATAATTAATATTGAGTCTACATATATTTTGTAATTAATATATATTTCTTGTAAAATAGGATTTTTTTTTAATAAAAAAAGATTTTATTCTAAAAATTTTTAATTTTCATAATTTTTATTTATTTATTCATTTTCTGGATATAAAAAAATAAGTATAAATATTTTTGTTATATCTTTTAAGATTTTTTATATATTTGAGAATTATATAGTTTTTAAATATAATTAATTATTTATTAATTTCTAAATTAATATTTATCTTTTTTTTTTGATTTAAAAAATAAAAATAAAAAAAATCTTTTATATTTTTAAAAAAATAATAATACATGAATTAATTTAATAAATAATTTCAAAATTTAATTTAAAAAATAATATTAATAAAGATAAAAATATAAATTTTGATTTATTATAAATAAATAAATTATATAAAAAGTTAAAAACACAATAATATATATATTAAATAACGCTAAAAAACATAAATAAATAAAGACATTTTTCAAAAAAAAAAATAAAAAAAAATAATATTTCCAAAAAAAAAATGATTAATTTCAAACAAATAATAATTATTATTTTTATTTTATTTTTATTTATAATAACTTAAGAAATATAAAAATGTGATATTTTAAATAATTTCGAAAGTAAAAAAAATAAATAAAAATAACAATTGTTTTATATTTAAAAAAGGAGTTTAATTTAATAAGTTTATTAATGATTAATATGTTATTTAAAATTTTATAAGAATACCTTAAACAAGCATAATTTTAATAAATACATTAAAACTTGAATTTAAAAACATCTTCAATAGTATATTATTATGATTTAGAATCAAAATAAATAATAAATTCTATATAAAGTAATAAAAAATCAATATTTAATAATATTTATAAATAAAATAAATAAGCTTCTTATGGAATAAATAATTTTGAATTTATTACTTAGCTTTAAAAAATAATCGTAGTAAACTATAATTTAATAATTCAAGCAAATGTATATACTTTAGAAGTTGAAAATTAAATAAAAATAGCAGATTTTCACATCGGATTTTCATTAATAAAAGATTCCACATTAATTATAGTATCTGCTTCATCTTAAAATACATATATTTTCGATGTTTCTACTTTTTCTATAGTATTAGTAGCATCTGAGGCAGGTTATTTTTGCTAAAAAATAATTTAATATTAAAAATAATATAAAATACAGCCGGATCAAACAAAGGTATATTTGGAAATTTTTATATAGATATAATAAATACACCTACATAATAAGCATATTTATTATTTGTTCATTTTGTATAAAATAATATTTCTGTTTATGAAATATAAACGTTTCCTACACTAAAAGCTTAAAGATATGGAGAAATTACTTAATGTAAAAAATAAAAAAAAAAACAATAAAAATACATTAAATAAAATAATAAGAAATTATAATTAATTCTAATAAAATTATCTATGAAGGACTTCTTAAAGAATTAACTAAACCTGATTATGTATAAGTTATATAATAAATTATTAAATATAATAAATTTAATTCTGTGATAATTATTGATAAATCATCTTCTTTTAAAATTGTTGATATTTAGAAATATAAAGATGCACCAAATACTATTTATTAAGAATATTAGATGACTATAGACCCAAATGGAAGTAATTTTAAATAGTTTTAATAAGTATTAAATATAATATTAATGGAAAATACAAATTTAAATTATGATACATTACTAATTAATGATAATTAAATATTTATTTATAAATTTAGAATAATATCTATTCCTATAAACCCGGTTTCACCTTCAAGTCTATAGTTTTAGTTTAAACTTTAATATGAAAGTAAATATGATAAATTCTAAAATGAATTGAATTATGGGAAAATGCAATTAATTTAAAATACAAAATTAATTTTTGTATTATCATATAGCCATATAATATCGTTAAATATAGATACATTTACAGCAAATGAAGTAATGAGTAAATAATAAATTACATATATATATATATATGTATATATATATATATTTATATATTTTTATATATATATTTTTATATATTTATTTATTAATATTATTTTTTATTTATATTTATATATTCTTTTAGAATTTAAATCTACATTTAATTAACCTTCTTTACCTTTGAAAATTAATAATAAAGATTATTTGGGAAGCTTTGAAGATTTATATTCTTATTCTTTTAATAATAATATTTTATATGATAATAACAAAGTAAAGGATTCTTTCGTAGGATAAAGTATTTTTTATCAATTTGCTGATAATAAATAAAGAGATCCTGATACATAAAGTTATTCGAAGTATTTATAGAGCGAAGATTATTTGTATTTTTATAATTCTGTGACATAATCGAAGCTTTTTTATCCTGTAAGTAGGAAATTATTTTATTTATATGAAAAAAATTACATTGAATAAAATTATTAGCCTATTTAAATTGAATATAATAATAACGAAAATGAAAGCGATGAATCTAGATTTTATAATGTCAATTTGTAATTGAATTAGAGTATTTTTAAAGTACTATATTAAGAAAATATAATTGGAATAAGATATTCATATAAAAAAGTAATTGATAATTAAAATATATTATAAAAATAAGGAATTTTATTATTAGAAATCTAAAATAATTTAAATGAAATAAAATAAGTAAAAAAAAAAAAAAAAAAACTAACAAACAAACAAACAAACCAAAAACCAAAAAAAAAGATATTAGATTATGAAATAAAAAATATGAATTAAATATAAGAAAAACTACAACCTTTTTATTTTTAAAATAATTATTATTTAATTACTTTTACACAAAATTCTAAAAATTTAAAAATTATTAATTTAAATTAAAAATAAGAAAAAATAATAGAAATAATTGATTTCCCAGTTTTTTTTGCATTTAATTTAAATTAAGGTCTATTATTTGTAATTGATAAAAATTCCTCTATTTACTTATATTAGAATTTTTAGAATTAAATACAAAAATAATAAAAAATTGAAAATTGCTCCATTTCTAATTATGTGGGAATTTCATTCGAAAAAATAAATTAAATAATACTCTAATGTGACAATATGGATATATTATAAATTACATATGATATCTAATATACAATAAGTACTAAATAATTGATAAATTAAACTTTGAAGTATCATTAATGAGAAAATATGAAAATTAAAATTATCATATTTTATTAATAAGTGAAAATATTAGTGGATTTGTATATGTATATATGTTAGATAAAAATGATTTTATTAAAATATAGAAATTTGAGTAAAAGAAATTATAAGACTAAGTATTAAATATGCATGTTTTTGATGATTTATATATATGGATTTAATATTAAAATTCTAATTTATTCTTTTATATAGGAAATTGTTTAATAAATAAAAAATGTGTATAAAAATGTGCTATTGATTTTTATTTTGATGAAAAAAATAATTATATTGATAATATTTAAAATTAAGGAACTTAATAAAATCCATTTATTTATTCTTAATAATTACTATTATATTCAATTTTTAAAGTATAAACTAAAATTTATATTTATATTTATAATTATATTTATATAGGCAACTTTGTACAATCAAAGATTAAATATTTAAATATAATTAAATTTATTTTTAAATTCTAAATTATATTTACCAAATTAACTTATTAAAACAAATTATAATTTAGATTTTTTATCTTTAAATATTATAGGTGTAGATTAATAATAGTAACTATACTTTTCGAAAAATTCTGTTTTATTTTCAAATTTTGACTCTATATTTTTTTAAAAATATAAGTTTCTAATTCATATTGTAAAGACTTTAATAATGCTAAGGTCTTACATTTATAGAAATTAAAAATGAAATTATAATATAAAATATATCTTTTTAAGATGGATGTGAATAAATATAGATAAATGATTGTATAAACACTTGTTTTTTTAAACTAGACAATTTAACATTATTAAGAAAAGATTATTCAACTTAAACATATTTAATAAAATCTAAAAATACAAATAAAGTAAAAAATAAAATAAATAAAATAATATAAAAAAAAAATAAAAAATATATATATATAATAATAAATAATATATATATATATATATATATATATATATATAAATATTTATATATATATAGATTTTTATAAATAATCTAACAATCTAAGAATGTATTTTTGGTAAATTTTATATATTCATTTAATAAGAAGATACTTACTCTATTTTAGAGATTTAAAATTTTTAATTATTATAAAATAAAAGTGTATAATTTCTTGATAATAATCAATAAATAAATAATTTAACTTTAGATACAATATTTCTTTTTTAAGTTTCTTATTTAAAAATGGATAATATTAAAATTCTTGAAAATCAATTTTTTAATACAAACATAATTGAAATAATACCTTCTTAAAAAATCCCAAACTTTTAATTTTAATTTACAAATATTTCTTTTAACAAAAATTTATTTCATTCCATTTCTCAATAAGTTTTCCTAAGTATTCTATATACACAAATACTAGTCCCATTACATGAATTATATTTCTAATCTTTTTAAATATTAAATAATTAATATAAAAATTCACATTCTGATCTCAAAATACTCGTCTCATAGTTAATTCGCACATAAAAAATAGCCTAAATAACCCTTAAAGATATAATTTTTGAAGATCATATGACTTTTTCTCTTGGTAACTTTGAAGATGCATCCCAAATAGATATATAGGATTTAAAATGTTAGAATTCTCTAGATTATAATAGTCAATATAAACTAAATGATAGTTCTTCTTCGTGTTTTGATGTTTATAATATTCCAATTATTAATTTAGATAATATAGTTGTTTTGTAGAAATATGGTTATAATACTAATTTGGTAAATTTAGTAAATTAAATTGAATAAAAGTCATAAATATCAATAAAAAACTCAGTTTTTTAAAAAATTTCTTTAATTTAATCATTTTCAACTTATCATTCAAATCCTTTATTTATTTCCTTGAATTAAATTGGAAATATATTTTTAGAAAATTTAGTTTTTTCAGATAATACGCTATAAGGAATTTTAAAAAGTTAAAAATAATCAACTACATGTGTCTATATAAGTAGTCTATTATCCATTATATATATTAAAAAATCAAAATTTGAAAATATGTTATCTTCTAATGACAATAATTGTCTTTTCTTTGAAATTTAAGAATTATATTTGGAAAAATCTTTGTTCAAAAATGCCTCAAATTTAAATAAAAATGAAAACATGCTCATTTAAGGAGGTTTTATGAAAATTTTAAGTCTAAAAATATCAATTTAAAGTACAGAATTTTCATAATCATATAGTAAAATAGGATCTTTTATATATTTTATGTCTTTTGAGAAAAAAGATGTAGTTTTTTAAATTGAAAATTCTATATTCCAGTAAGGTTTTGCAACTGAAAACGGAAGTGCTTTTTATATTGACACTTTAAGTTAAAAGTTAATTTTAGATATAAATAATTGTATATTCTAAGATTTATTTTTATAATAATTATAAAATTCCACATCTATATATATAAGGTAGAAATATAAACAATTATATATAATAAATAATTAAAATATATAAATATAAATATAAATATAAATATAAATATAAATATAATATATATATAGTTTAATATATTATAATAATAAATTAATTATTATATGTATATTTATATACATATAAATTTATTTACAGAAAAGATATCGCTTAAATATATAATATTAGAAATATAATAAATCTTAAAAACACTAAAATTTCAAATATTTATGGAATTTAAGAAAATTAATTTTTAGATTTATAAAATTCAGACATATATTTTTATAATATTATTTATTTTTTTTAGCTTTCCTTGTTTTTATAAAATTAAGAAATTAACTATTAACATGCTTTATTTTTAAACGGAAAATCACTAAATTTAACTATATAAGAATTTCTTCTTGAGAAAATAACAATTATAAAAAATTAAAAAAATCTTTTACTTTTTGATATTTAAGATAATAATAATTCTAATTTTTTCTAAATAAATTCCATAAAAATCTAAAACACGATTATTTCTTCTTCCGGTCTTTTAAAAATAGATGGTGGGTCCGTTTCTTTTGAAAACCTACATATAGAAAACGTTTAAATAAATAAAAATATTAGAAATTTACAAGAAAATAACTTAATTAATATTTAATAATTTACCATAAATCTTATAAAAACTCAATTAATTATTAAAAACTCTTTTTTTTTAAATATATAATGCCCAAAATGTACCGGAGGAGTTTTTTATATATAAAAATCTTCCATTTAAATTGAAAACTCAGATTTTAAATTTTGCCAAAGTTCAAACGGAGGAGCTCTTTTTATAGAAAATCCAATAAAAAAAGCTCTTATTTTCCAATCAACATTCATAAATAATAGAAGTGAATAAAACGGTGGATCTTTATATATAATAGTTTAAAAAACCGAATAACTTTCCTTATAAATATAAAGTTCGAATTTTCAACAAAACATAGCCTAATAAGGAGGTGGAGCAATAAACATTTCCTTTGATTTTCCTCAAGAAAACTTGATATAGACAATATAGATAATTAATTCTTAATTTAGCTCAAATATGGCATATATTGGTGGAGGAATTCTATATTAAAAAGCCTAAGGAGTTCATTAAAATACTCTTTTTTTAAACAATAGTGCTCTTTTATATGGAAAGAATTACTTCTCGTAACCTTCTAGACTCTAACTGTTAAATAAAAAGGACATAGAATAAGGTTATGAAGGAATAGTATCCTCTAATAGCATTTTTTTTGGTAATTGGAGAAGTGGAAAGTCTATAAAACAATTGATTTTGGGTCTTTTTGATGACTAAAATGAACAAATGATTTTAGAATAAAATTCGGATTAAAAGCTATAATTATTAAAGTTAGATCAATCAAATATTACATATAAAAACAGCTCATATTAAATTGAATATAAAGGTTTTGAAATAAAAGAAATATAAATAGTCGGTAGAATAAATGAGAGAGCATCAATTAGTATAAAAAATTAACTAATAAGGGATTAATAATATGAATTTTAGCTTATTTTTTAATTCAGGAAATGTAAAAAAGAAGAATAGTTGTCTATATATAATAATCTACAAGAATGCACAATATGTCCTTAAGCGTAGTATTCATTTGGAGAACCATGCCATGTATGCACTCATGATGAAATACCTAATTGTCAATTAGAAATAAATAAAGAACATCCTTGTTGTAAAAGTTGCTGTAAAGATTGCCCTTTTGGGGCAATATGCAATTACGATGAACCTTTTAAAGTCAGAAAAGGATTCTGGAGATCAGATAAATATTCATCAATAATAATAGAATGTAAAGAATTACCAGAAAATTGCCAAGAAGGTACATATGCAAATTATATATGTTTTTAAGGACACATAGGAGCTAAATGTGATGAATGTGATGTAAAATTATAAATATAAACATAACAAAAAATTATATATACAAATATATATATATATATATATATATATATATATATATATATATATATTTATATATTCATAGTTATTAGAAGAATATTGGGATGAAAGTTATACTAAAACTGGTAAATTTTCATGCTCTTAATGTTCTAAAATTTAAAATAATTCTACAATAGTTATTTTATTAACTTTATGGACTATGATATCTATGACCTTAGCTATAAAAAGTGATTTAGATATTTTATTAAAAAAAGCTATATTAAAAAAAGATTAATAATAATTTTAAAATAATAATCGTAAAATAAACTCAAAATATTAAAAAATAATTACTAAAAAAGTTAATTAGGCTGAATACACTGCCATATACATAAAAATACTAACAAACTACTTCTAAATAATTGGCTCTGTAGCTTCCTTTGATCTTTCTGTACCTTCTGGTATATTTGAATTTCCCGATTCTGTTGGTTAACCAGTAAAATAGACTATGAATTCTTTAGATTGTGCTATAAAAAATATATAAACTGTTATTCCAATAATTTATTTTCGTACAATTTTTTCTTTAATAATTCCTATTATATATTACTCTCTATTCTGCTTGTTTTTAATAATTTTTTCTAAGATAAGAAAGCATAAGATCCCTTCCTATATGTTATATACAGCACTTATTTTTTTAATAATTTATATATAACCAGATTTAGTTGCATAGTTAATTTCTTTACTCTCCTGTGTATAAATAGGAGACAAAGAGTATTTATTATCGAATAAAAGCTTCCTCTGTAATTAAATAGAGAATAAATATAAAATCTTTTCAGGAATAATGCTCTTTGTTTGGGTAGCCTTTTTACCTTCAATTTTCTTTATATTGCTTTTTATTAATAAAAACAAACTCCATTAATCATCAATTAAAATGAAATTAGGCTTTCTATATAAAGAATATAAACTTACAGCCTTTTATTGGGAATTTATTAAAATATTCGAAAAAATTGGTATTATTCTTGTCCTTAATTACTATTTTGATGATATAAGGGTTAAAGGTATTCTAGTATTTATCATAGTCTCATTTTATACAGCATTATCCCTTATTGTAAGGCCTTATAATTATGACGAACTTAATAAAATAGATCAAATTTAAAATTATACATGCGCAATAACTATACTTTTGGGTGTTTTTATAAATAAAAATAAGTTTTATTATTAAATATATATTAGTCTAATAATAATTGTTTATTTTAATTCATATTTTATTATTCTTATTATCAGAAAAATTATTTTAGGTTACACAGCTTAATTCGAAAAAAATATAAATAATATTAAAATAAAGCTCTATGAAAAAATACCTATAGTGAGCAAAATGCTTAATATTTATCCTAATATTGAAAAGAAAAATAAATAATTATGGTTAAAAGCTAGACAAAGTATATAAGAATTCACAAATCTAGATAAAAATTAATAATTTAAAAAAATAACAATTATATACTAGAAATGGTTAAGTAAAAAATATTTATATATATACATATAAATATTTATATATATATATATTAAATTAAAAGATATAAAGTATGAAAGTTTTAATTATAGTCATTAACTTGTTTTCAAAAATTCCAAATTATAAAGATAACATTCCCTTGATTAACTATAATTAAAATAGAAAGATTAATAATAATTAATTTCACAAAATAATAAGTAGAATATATTATAAAATAATAGTTGCAATAATAATAAATGTAAAATAATTCCTTAAAGTAATATAAATATTAAGTAAACTATTAGTAGTTTAATTATTCAAGATAATAATGATTAAGTTTATAACAATAAATAAACTTATACTTCTTTTGCTAATATAAATAATAATAATTAAGAAACATTATAATAAATACCTACATAATGTATATAAATATATAAATTAAAAATATTTATAAATATATATATATATATATATATATTAATATATATTTATATATATAAATTTATATATATATATTTTTATTATATAATAATTAATTTTAAAAGTTTTTATATAATAGAAAAATAATAATTATAAATTTTATAGAAAAATATCATATAATCAATAAATCAAAGAAAATAATGAAAACATTTAATATTAAAATAAAACAAATTTCAATTAAAAATAACTATAATAAAGTAATAACAATTTATATGTTCAAGAATAAATTTTAATTTAAAAATAAAATATTTAATAAAAAGATGAACCATCTTAGTTTTTAAAAGATAAAGATGTATTGCAAAAAAATAATGATAATGAATAATAAAAGATAAATAATAAAAAAGATTTTTTAAAAGAAAATTAATAAAATAAAATATTATGAAATAATATAAATTAAAAAAAATATAAAATTAAATTTTTTAATAAAATATAATAAAATACTATGCAATAATATATAATTATATATATATATATGTATATATAATTATATATAATATTAATTTTATATAATTTATTTATTTTATAAAAATAAAATTTTAATAAATAGTTTGTTATAAAGAAAAAATTTTATAATTTATATTTATACTTTCAAAAATAATTAATATTTTATATATAAAATAAATTCTTTTATTAATTAAAAGATTAAATTATAAATATAATTTTTATTTCTTTTTTAAAAAAATTTTATTTATTTTAAAAAACATATATAACCCATAGAAATAATGTATAAATATTTATTAATCCTTACTTTATTTTCATTTGCATACTCATTACTATAATAAAGTCCCAGTACTCCATCCTATGCTTACTGTACTACTACTTCACCTTGTCCTTAAGAATGTATTGATATAGGCTACACAAAATCTGAAAAAACTTGCACAATTACTGAATAAACATGTAAATCTTTAATTTCATGTACTTAAGCTTGTACAGATTTCGGCTTTTCAACTCACACTGTTCCTTAATAATCTACCTAATGTATGATAAATTCTTGTGTAGATATACCTAATAAACTTAAATGTACCCCAGTTTGTTTACAAAGAAGTTTTTACCCAAATAATGAAGGTTATTGCAGTTGTACAACTCCAGACTACGACAATAACAATATTTGCTAATTCTAAGTTGATTATAAAAATTGCTTTTCGTAGAAAATATGTCCATAATAATGCATTGATATAGGATATGATTTCATAGATCAAGATCCTAAAAATCCCTGCGATAATAATGCCTATAAAAAATGCCTAAACTAAAATTATTGCGCAACTCAATCATTTTGTACAGATTACGGTTTTATAAATTAAAATGATCTCTGTGTTCCTCCTTAATGCAATTCTTTAGAATTATGTAATTAATAATACTGCAAAGATAATGGCTATATAGTGAATAATAACTAATGTTAATGTCCTTAATATTATACTTCTTAAGACTACAAATGTTAATTCGAAGTTTCATGGTAAAACTGTATAGTTTCACCTCCTTCTTCCACTTCTTGTCCTTCTGAATGTATTGCAGGAGGCTATAAATAAGACCCGTCTTCTGGATCATGTATTTCCCCCACCTATGATGATTGTTTTGCCGAAAGCGTTCTCGAATGTACTAAAGCATGCCAAAACCTATCTGGAATTCCCGTCCAATCGGGTAAATGTGTCCTTCCTCCTGCATGTTAAAGCGATACTTAACCCTGTAATACATTATCTCCTTATTGCCAAATAGCTGGCTTCTCAACTTAAAATAACACATGTAATTGTAGTACTGGTTTCTTCCCCGTAAACTCCAAAAACTAATGTTTTGAGCCTTCCTGGAACTCCTGTATAGATTTAACTTTAAACCAATCCTGTCCTGACTTATGTTTAAATCTCGGCTACTTTAAATCTGAAAAACCCGCCCAAAACTGCACTATTACTTTTTCCGAATGTAACGCTAAAAACAACTGCTCAAACAAAAATACTGCTTGCATACAATACGGATTTACAAACGATCCAACAAAAAATATCTGTACTATAATATGTGAAAACACCTAAAACGCTTGTGACTAAAATAATCACGCTTGTAAAGACTAATATTTCATCACTTAAGATAAATAATGTCTATGCGCATATGGTTTTTATTCTTTGAATAAAAATGAGTGTTTAAAAATTGATAATAAACACTGCTTTAACGACCAAGCAAATATCTGTCCTTAAGAATGTCTAAGTGCTGGATATTCTGGCGAGTTGAAAACTGCCTGCGGTTTACCCGCTATTGATACTTGTTTAAATAATAATGTCTGTGATGAAAATGTGAACTCTTTTTTGAGTGCATGTGTTAATGTTGGATTTTATAATAAAAGTGGAAGTTGCAAAGTTGAATAGTGCGTCTAGAACGATTAAAATAATAAACAAGCTTGCAGTGATGCTTGTTTGAGTATAGGATATTAGACTTTAATTGGAAATTGTTAATGTGTAAATGGATAAATTGATGCATAGGGAAAATGTAGAAGAGAAAATAAAATTAGAAATATTAGATTTTATAATAAATTATTTAAAAGATATAATTTGTGAGAAATTTCCAAAAATATTTATATCTATCTTTTAAAAATTAAAACATAAATATTTTTTTTAAAAATAAAGATATTAAATTATATGTATATATATATATATATATATTATAAATTCATAATAATAGATATATCCATATACTGCATATATTTTCTAAAATCAAATAAATATCACATTCTTCGCCAATGATATATACCATGAATTTTTCATAATCCACTTTTCACTATCATATCCGGCAAGTAAAACTCCATGATCTAAACTTTCAGGACTACTATCATAATCATAAAATAATCTTAGAAATATACGATGGCCAACTAGAAGCATCTAAATACACAAAACTAATTAAGTTAATAGTGCTTATTTTAAAGAGTCACTATCTTATTTAATATTAACAAAATATTTCACATAAATCACTTTTAATATATTACTAACTTAACATTATCCATCTATAGAAGTATAAAGGTGCTTACTTTCTTATAAATGACCATTCTTTTTTTAAACATATTAAACAGCTAAAAAGTATCATCCTCCTTCATAATTTCCTTAATCTATCCAATAATTTAATTGTATGAAAAAAAAATATATATATATTAATTTCAAGCATTCCTGTAGTAGAAAAAGCCCAGCAATAAACAGCATTAATATTATTTTTTTAGTATGACACTTTAAAGCTTATTTATATGGAGTTTTTTTAAATTTTTTGTTGTTATATAAAAATATTAAATTTCGGAGATTTTTTGGAAGACTATTATGTGTTTTAATAACCATTCTTGATAATTTTAAATGGTTTAATGGAAGTCTTGGTGGAAGGCTTAAGAATCGAAAATAAAATAAAGACATCCTAATAAATGCAATAAAAAATAGTGAAATTTATTATTTATTAGAAAAAACTTATTTTTTTAGAGTTTTATAATTAATCAGTGGTTAATGGAAATTAATGATAAAAAAAAGTTCGTTTCATAGTAAATTGATAAGCATTTAAAAAAAAAAAAAATTAATAATAAAAATACATAAATATTATAAAAAAAAAAATCTTTTACAATTTAACATAGAAAAAAAAAAAATTGATATATAAAAATATAATCATTTTATTATATTTTATTTTATTTAAATATATTTTATTATATATATATATATATATATATATTAAATAAAATAAATTAAATTTATATTTAATATTTATTGATATCCAAATATAATGTGTATAAAAGTTATAAAATTAAAAATTAAAATAGAATAAATATATTAAAAATAAAAATGCATTTTATTAAAAATAAAAATATATTAAAAAACATGTATAAAAAATATTTTAAATTAATTAATTATGAAAATAAATTATAACAAAATAATTATAAAAAGTAAATGATCGATAAATAATTTTAAAGAAAATTAAAAATTTAACAAAATTAATAGCTAATTATGATGAAGAATATAAATTATATAAATAATATTATTATTATATTATTATGAATTTTCTAAATATTTATATTAAAATAAAAAATTAAGAATTTATATATAAATATATATATATATATATATATATATATATATATATATATTAATTTTTTTTATATATTTATATAAATTTTATTATTAATATATTTTAAATTTTTTTTTGTTTAATATCAAAAAAGAAGAAAAATTCTATTAAAAAAAAATATAAATAATTTTTTTAAATAAAATATATTAAAAAATACAATTATAATAAAAAAACAATGTAGGCTGAAGGGTTAAATTCCTAATAATTAAATGAAGCTTTAATAAAAGAAGACGAAGTTATAATAAAACATATTTATTAATTAATATTATAATTTTTTTTAAAAAAGTGGGCTAAAGCAATTATTTTTGATTAAGATTTAAATATAATAGCATAAAAAAATTGTCCTGCAAAACCAGAAGAATTAAAGCCATATTTAACTGCAGACTAAAATCGTGATAACACAATAGGAGCAGGTTATTATTAACTTTTTAATTAAATTTCAATTAAATTATATCTAAAAAAAAAAATGAAAGGATTTATTTTATTAGGAGAGCATTATGATGTACATAGATTTCACCCTCCATTGATATACGGAAGAAGAGGTGATGCTGACGTAGGAGAAGGAATATCATTATCAATTGTAAAAATATATATATATATATTCATGTATATAAATATATTTATAATTATTATAAATTTAATATAAGGGTTTTTCTAAAAAAGCAAACAAAACTGTTTATTTAATTATAACTTATGAATTACCCATAATATCAGCAAGAGCAGTTCCTTAATAAATAAACTTTTATAATGCACACAGTATAAAAAAAATCATATACTATATTATATTAAAACTATATTTACAAAAAATAAAAGTTGGTGAATTAAAAATAGCATAATGATTATATAAAAATAAAATAAAAAAATATATTTATTTATCAAAAAATATATATTATTTAATAATATTAAAAAAAATCAAATATCGTATTTAATTTAATATTATTTAATAGTATATTATCTAATTTTATTTAATTAATTTTTATAATTATTAGTTTAAATGAATTTAATTTAATTTAATTTAACGTAATTTAATTTAATTTAAATTAGATATTTTTTATATAAAATTAATAAATTTTATATAAAAATTTTTTGAAATAATATTTTTTAGTATTATACATTTATATATACAATATTAAATATTTTTTTTTTGAAATTTTTTTTCTTAAATCATTATTTAATATGTATCCCTTTAACATTTATTTTAGGTTAAATAACACTTTTTAAATTTCTTAAAAATTTGATTCCTAAATTATTTAATTACTAATTTTGGAATTTATTATCATTATATAAACTTTTAGAAAATATAAATAGTTATTATTTTTATACTATTTAATTTTCCGTATTTTTTTTTTCGTTTTCTTTTTAATTTTATATACTAGATTGCTTGTTTATATTATTTGTTTTCTATTTTTAATTTTTACAAACCATATTTTAGTTAATAGATTTTTTTATATTTAGATAATTTTAAATAATATTTAATTTAAAATAAGGATAAATATAAAATTTAAATGTCCTTAATGTTATATCTTCAATAAAAAAGTATTTTTATTAATATTAGTTTAGTTTCTAGTAAAGATTTTCATCTATAAATAATTTTTCTATTAAAAAAATAAAATAATATATTAATCAAAAAAATAATTAAATACATTCAATAATTTAATTAGATAATAACATAATATTATCACATGTTAAATCTTATTAATATATAATGTATCTTAAATAATAAGATAATATTGATTTTTATAATTAAATTTCTAAACTTTATAAGATTTACTTTTTATAATAAAATTTATCAAATAATATAATATTTTTTTATTCAATATTCTTATAAAAAATCTATATTTTTAAATAAATATTATTTAAAAATAATATTGAAAAAGATACTAAAATATGGTAAAGATTGTTTTCTTTATCATTAAATTATTCAAAAGCGTATTAAAAATAAATTTATATTATTTACTTTTTTTTATATTTAAAAAAAATTTTAATATATAAATAAATATCAAATAAAATGTAGATATATATATATGTGATATTTACATTATCGAAATTAGTTTAAATTAATTTATAGTTAAATAACCTTACATTTTCAAATTTTATAAATTCCATGTTTTTAGTATTAATTATATGAACTTTTAACTAAACTTTATTTTCTTAATGATAATTTAAAAGTAAATAAATAAAAATATAATAAAAATATAAATATTAATTATATATATATATATATATTTCTTATATATATATAATAAATTATTAAAAATATATTTAAATATTTATTTATTTACAATCTAATTCCCATTTATTATTTAAAACTGATATATTTTATTCAATCCTATATTTACCAAAATTACATTCACAATTATCAGTCACAATATTTTATATTTTTTAAATATTATTTATTTTCATTTCATCACTTTAAAAAATTAAATACTAATTATTTTCCATATTATCTTCTTACTATTATTCTTATTCTTTTTTTCTAAATTTTGATTTATTTTTTGAATAAAAAAAGATACAGTTTCTTTTTTTATTAATGGATTAGCTGTTTTTGCCCTATTCATATTCAATTTAATTTTTTCATTTTCAAAAACTGGATATACTGATTTATTCATTTATTATTTGTCTTTTTAAATTTTCATTTACTATATAAATGATTCCTAAAATTTAAATTAATCAGCTTATGTAAGAGACATATTTTTTTTAATTTTAATATATTATTTAAATATTAGTTTAACTTGTATATAAAAACAATTTATTATTATTTATTCTTTGCTCTATTTCTTGAATATTTTATTAATTTTAATCTTCATTTGTTATATCTAATCTTTTCAAAGCAGAAAAATTTCTTATAAATTATTTTTTATTACTTTTATCAAATTATAAATTTAATTGCCAATTTTTATCTGAAAATTTATTTTAATTTAAAAAATTTTAATAACTCAAAAAATTTTATTATTAGAAATTATTTTTTTAATTTTTTTTAATTTAAGGATTATATGATTATTTTAAAGGAATTTCTTATGAAATAATTTCATCTTTAATCAAATTTGAATCATTTTTTTAATTTATAGAATTTTTTTATTAATAATATTCTTATATTCGTTTTTATTTCTCATTTAATTCTTCAAATTTTCTATTTATTAATGAAACACTCATATTTTTAATTGAAAAAATATTAATTTTATTAATTATAATAATTAATAAATAAAAAATTTAAATATTAAATATTATAAATATTATAAATATTTATAACTTGTATATATAAATAATTTATTTTAAAATAATAATAAGTAAAATATATTTTTTATTTAATATAAATAAAAATGAATTATATTATAGTTTCAATTTTTTATTTTAAAATAATTATAATTAAAAGAATGCGATAATGTTAAATTAAATAATATATAAGATTTCTAATTATAAGAATTATATAAAATTTATAAAAAAATATATAAACTAATAAAAAATGAAAAATATATATAAATTTACAAAAATTATTTAAAATATTACTAATCAAGATAATACATATTAAAAAAATAATATAAGTATTAATAATAATAAAAAATAATAGAAATATCGAATTATATAAAAATTATTTAGATTTTAAAAAATATTATATTAGATAATGATATAGATAGGAAAATAGATATAAATATATAAATATATAAATATATAATTATATATATAATAATATATTATATATATATATTTTTATATATTATAATAATTTATATATATATATATTTTTATTTTTATAAATTATATATATTTATTAATTTTTTTTTTTTTTTTTAATTATATAATTAATAATGCTATAATTTTAAATATATATTCCAAATAAAAAAAAAATAAAAAAAAATAATTGTTTTTCTATTTTTTTCTTTATTTATTATTAAAAATAAAAAAAAACTTCTATATTAAACATTTTTCATACAGTGAAAAAGTTTCTTGAAATATGCTCAACTGCATCTTCTATAGTTCTCATTCTTTCTAATTCTTCATCCGCAATTTCAATGCAAAATTCTCTTTCTGCTTCGACCATAATTTCTACAAAAGTCAAAGGATCAACTCCGACAGATTCCCATGTAGATTATAAAGTAATTTCATGTGGATTTTTGACTCTATCATGTAATGCAATTAATTTTACAAGTCTTCTTGATATATCATCTGGATTTGCAAAATAACCATGTTTTTCATCTCTTGGGAACACTTTTTAAGGAGCATAATTGAATTATACCACATTGCAAAGTATTGGAGCTTTATTATAAATTTTTTAATTTTAACTAATTAATTTTTGTGTTAATCTTAACATTTATTATTTTATTTTAATCTTCTTTATATTTATATATTTAATATTTTTTGTTTTGTTTCCTTTATATTTTATTTTATAATAAACAAAAATTTAAATATATTTTAATTAATTTTTTTTTTTTATATATATAAATAAATAATTTTTAATAAATTAAATAGAAAACAAAAAGCTATTTTATTTTATAAAAATAAATAATTAATAACTTTTAAAAACAATAATAAAAATATTAATTAATAAATGCCTATTTTTTTAAAAAATAAAAATAATTTATATTATTTGCCATAATTTCAAGTACTTATTTAATTAAAACTTAAAATTTATACGTTTATAATTTCATGTCTCAACTTTCATCTAATAATTTAAGGAATTTAATTTCTTTTGGGCTTTTTGAGTCCAAAATATGATAGATACTATATTAAAACATTTTCAGTTATTTTTTTAAGTTTTTATTTTACAATATTTTTTCAATTATAAACATTTTTTTTAAAACAATAATATTTTATTTTCAATAAAAAAGCAAGATGAAAATACATTATTTTATTTTATTTTATTTTTTTTAACAAAAAACAAAATTAAAACTAATAATATATCAACTCTTTATATTAAAAATTTAGTCTAATAAATTATTCTTTTATTTATTTTTATTGTAATTATATAAATATATACAAAAGTATAAAAAAAAATTAAAAATAGCTAATCTATTAAATAATTATTCATATAAAAATAAATTAATTTTAAATACATAAAAGTAGAAAAAACAAAAAACAAAAAATGTCATCTTCTCCTATTAAAAAATTAGTAAAACGTTAACTTTCAATAATAAAAATTGAAAAAAATGTCTTATAGCAAGAATTATCAATAAGTAGTATAGAATCAGACAATACTTTCAATATTTGGGATGACTCAGAAATAGAAAAAAAGGAATAACAGATACACAATAATATATAGACATATTAGGTAAAAATTTAAGCTTTATTGAGCTTTACAAAGCTCGGTCAATAAAATACGAGAAAGGCAAAGTACCATATACAGCAGAAATATATGATGATTTATCTTAAATATATAAATTCAGTGGAAGAAAACTAAATATGGTAGATATTTTGGATATAAAAAGAGATAAACTAGAAGAAAAAATATAAAAATAATATAAAAATAGATTTATTAGTAATTTTATAAATTATGCTAAAATAAATAAATAAAAAAATTAAAATGAAAAATATAAAATATATCAAAAATTAAATTAAAGTTTCATTACAAAAGATAATTATTATACATATTAAAACAAAAATAATTAATATTTTAGAGGTTTATAAATTTCTCAAACAAAAGTGAGACAAAAAGTTGAAAAAAGACTTAATTTATTAGAATTATAAGAAATAAAAAATAGATATATTATAAATGTATAAAAATAAAATTGTAATAATAATAATAATAATAATAATCTTAATAATTATAATAATATTAATAATTATTTAAAAATGTAAATTTTTATTTTTCATTAAAATTTAAAAAAAAAAAAAATATAAAGAAAATGTTTAACATGTTATAGATGAATATATATAAGAATAATTGAATTATATTAAAACTAAAATAAAATAAATAAATAAATATTAAAATGGAAAATAAAATTATATTAAATAGTATATTAAAATATTTTATATTATTAATAATTAATATAAAATAGTAAAATTTACTTTAAGAATATATATATATATAAGTATAAAATAAAACATTTAAAAAATTAATAATATATAAAAATGAAAATAAAAAAAAAATTAAATTAAAAAAATAAATATATATATAATATATATATATATATATATTTATATATATATATATATATTTATTTATATCATTATGTTATCATAATTATATCTATTTTAACCATAGGTATAAAGGAGCTAAATCTTCTTTCTATTTTTTCAATAATTTTCTTATTTTCAATATCTTCATCAATTTTATATTTACTCCAAATACATATATTAAAACTATTTGAAATTTCCATTTTTTAACAATTATCTGTATCTGCAATAATTTTTTCATATACTTCATATCTATTAAGTTCTTCTAAATTCCAAATTTAACTCGGAAAACACGAAGAGCTATAATACTCTCTTATATCTGGATAAAAAATTTCATCATATGGACTTATTGAATCATCCAAATTAATAACAAATATTTCTCCTTTAATTAGTACATTACTTAAATTTTTTTTAACATTTTACTATTTATTTATTTTTTTTAAAAAAAAATAATAATTTGCATTTTATAATTTACTTAAAATTATTTATAATTTTATAGTTATTTTTTTATAACTGAAGCTTATCTTAAATCAAAATCATACCAATTTCTTTTTTCTAATTATTATATTTAATTAAATACTTCATTCATAAATTAATTGCATCTTTTTAATTTTTTTTTTTTTTGTATTTTTAAATATAAAATAATCATAAAAATAAATCTTTATACTATTTTGAACTTATAACTAAAGGAATTCTATTATTTTAATTTGATTTTTTTATTAAATTAATTACATTTTATACATTATTAACCTATTTATTATAATTATATTATATATATATATATATATATATATATATATGTATTTATATGCAAGTACTTTTTCAAAAAAGAACAATTTTTATTTTCTATTTTTTTCTTTCAATACATTAATTTCATTTTTTCTTTTAATAAATTCTTCAATTTCCTAACCAGATAAAAACGGATTTATAATTAAATCATTAGTTTTCATAAAATAATTATTTTTAAAAATCCCTTAAAGAACATTTCCCTAAAAAATATCATTAATTATTTTTTAAATTAAAAAATAAAACTTCGTGATGTTTAAATGTCCCACCACCTTCGAATCTGTTATTTCTCCAAGTGCCACCATATTCATCTCCATTAGGCCAAACAAAGGTACCTTACCCTTCTTTTACACCATATTTCATGTTTCCTTCATAAAAAGATTTATCGGGATAATAACATTTACATAATCCATGTTATCGATCTTTATCCCAATAACCTTCATATTTACATAATAAATTTTCTTGTTTTGTTCCGAATAATTATATTCCAAATCCGTGTCTGATTGGTTTTCCTTTTGATGCTTCGGAAGGATCTAATATAATTCCTTGGTCATTTATATGGGCTATTTCTCCGAAATAAATAGATTCATCGGGTAATTAATAACAAACAAACTTCGATTTATCAATACTATCTATATCGAACATTTTTTATTTTCTGTAACTTTTTATTTATATTATTTAAATATTTACTTTTTTTTTTATTTACAATTTTATTATATATATACATATATTTTATTAAAAACAAATTTATTTTATAAATAAAAAAAATAAATATATATATATATATATAAATATTTTCTTTTTTTTTTTTTTTTCTTTCTTTCTTTCTTTCTTAAAAAAAATAATAATAAGAAAAAAAAAAGAAAAAAGAAAAAAGAAAAAAAAAAAAGTACATTAATTTAATTTATATATATATATATTTATATAGATATTCAATTTTTTCAAACATCATCTCTTTCCCATTTAATCACTACAACTAAAATATTCTCAAGTTTTACCTTTCATATTACTCTAATTATTCCTAAGTAAGTTATTATTCTTCTTTATGGGCCTAACTAGCTTATCCTGGTGGTCCTTATCCTTGTTTTTTATCTTTTTCTTTATCATCAACTTATTTAGTTTCTGGTCCACCTATATATTTATTAAATTAATTTTTATTTTTGTTTTATTATACTTTTGCATAAATTAGGTGATAATTTAACTAAAGTAACACCTCCGTGAGAATCACCTACTAAAATAATTTTATCTCTATAATTGAAAGCTAAATTTGTTAATTTAGGTTATTTAACAATTTTTTATTCTCCAATTTTTTTATGCTTATCAACATTTAAATCATAGACTAAAACTTTATCCATAGTCGCACAAGCAAAAACTTATAAAAATAAAAAAAAAAAAAACTAAAAAAAACTAAAATAACTAAAAAAAACCTGTAGAAGAATAAGGAGCCCATACAGCATCTACAACCTACATAGTTAAATCAAAACACATAATTTATTCAGTATATTTCGAATCCCATATTCTTACAGTCCAATCAGCCGAAGCTATATATAATATAAATATATTAAAATATTAATATCAATATAAATAAATACCAGAAATGAAAGTCCTTGGATGATAATTATTCCATTTAACTTTATAAACAGCTAATAGATGTCCTTTATAAGTTTCCTAATATTAACCTGAATATGCTCTTGAGCATTTATGAATATTTCCTTCTTCAGTTCCTACTAAGAAAATATGAGGTTCAAACTTATTGAAATCAAAACAAAGACCACAAGCAAGTCCTATTAGTGTTGATTCTTCATCATTTTTATTACCTACGAGCCTCAAGAGGATAACTTCTTCAGGTTCAAGTTTATTTTTCATTAGAATCCAATTCATGACCCGTCCATCACTTGAAACGGAATAGAAATTGTAGTTTTTGCTAATATCAGGATTCCACTTTACCTACCATACTGGATCAGTGTGCTTATGGTTCCTCACAGTGGATTAATAAATGGGTTTTTTGTGTTTATTTCTAATATCATATACTAAAACAGTACCATCATATAACCCAACTGCTAATAAAGCCGCACTTTTTGGATGAAAATCCAAACACATGACACCTGCTTCGCAGTTATAAGCATATTCAGGATGTGTAGTATTTTTTAAAGAATATAAACATATTAATCCCATTCTTTATTTAGTAAAATCATAACTACCCAAACTTACAGCAAATAAATCAGGATATCTAGGATTCCAACATATACTAGTGACATTTTTTTTCCTTTATTTCTCATTACTAAATCTCCATATAGGTAATAAATGACCTAAAAAAAAAATATATATATAAATATAATTGTATATTTATTTATTTATAAAATTATATATATTTATATTATTATTAATATTAAATTTATATATCTATTAATTAAAATATTTAAATTTTTTGTAATTACCCTCTATTTTACCAGGAGCTTCTTAATTATCACCTGTATTCCAGTAATAACGATAATCATAATATTTGTCAGCTTAATCATTTTAAACAACCATTCTTTCCATTATTTTACAGCATCTTTTAAAAGATGAAGAATACATTGTTCTAAATAATTTTATATTAAAATTATATAAAAAATATGTATTTATATTTACTATTCTTAATTTTCGTTATCATTATCTTTTTTTTTGTTAGTATTTTCTTATTAATTTTCCTTTTTTATTTATTTATATATATATATATATATATATAATTTATATATAATATATATATATATTTGTTTTATAAATCTATTTTTTTTTATTTATTCTTTTAATATATATTTTTTAACAAATTACCTTTAATAAAAATTACATATAAGCATCAAAAATTCCCCATTAAGTTATATTTCCATAAATAGAATCTGATGGTGGTGGTTCTGTTGAAATTCCTCTTTCTCTTGTAATAGGGTTAATAGTTTAGCATTCTCTTGTATTATAATTAAATTTATTTCTAAGTGTTTATTTAATTGCTTCTTCATCTTAAACTATACCAGGTTCTTCTTATTCTTATTTACTTTTAGCCTCTTTTATTAATTATTTTTTCATATCTTGAATAGCCTCTTATACTTAATATTCATTTGATTCTTTCCAAATATAGTCTCCATCTATACTAAAATGTACAATGGTTTATTCTACTAATTCATCTATTTTAAATTTCCTTTAATGGTAATCATAAATTGCTATATTCTTAGGAGCATTAGGATTATTAGGAACTAACATTTTGGAAGGCATTGGTTTATTTAGTTCTTCTGCAGTTAATTTTGAGGCTTCATATTAATTTTTATTTCCCTAATTATATATATATTTATGTATTGATATTTGTAAATATTTGATGTATTTTTTTTACATCTTATAGTTAATCTAAATCTTCATCATTTAAATCTTAATCATTCATATCAATTTTATTTGAATTTCGACGCATTATTGGTCTTTGTTAACGAGCAGCATTTGCTAATTGTTTTTTTTATTATAGGTTTTTACCAGGTTGAGGTCGGGGAGGCATTTTATTTAATTTTATTTTTAATTTAATTTGTTTTTATTTAAAAATTTTATATATTTTTTTTTTAAAAAATAAGTTTTATTTTTTGTATTTATTTATTTAGAATAATTTTTTTTTTTTTAAAAAAAAATATAAGCTATGTTTTTTTTATTATTATATTTAATATAATTAAAAAAAAATATCATGTTTATAATGGATTCGTTTAAAAACAATAAAAAGTATTATAATTAAATAATAAATTATTAATAGTTCTTTTAAAAAAAAAAAAATATAATAAAAGATTAAACAAAAAAATTAATTAAAAATAAAGTAAAATATAAAATCAATAATAAATTGAATATATTTTATTTAAAAAAAACAAAAATTAATAAATAAAATATGAAAAAGAAATAAAAAAATAATTAATCTTAAATTATATATATAATAATAAATAATTATATTTTTTTTTAATGTAAATTATAATTTTTTTTTATATACATGTTATATAAAAAAAAAAATATTCTTTACAAATAATATTTTTTTTAAAAAATAAATATATATATATATATATATATATATATTTATATATTTATATATTTATAGTTTGTCTAATTAAATAATCTTTTAATAATCATCCAGGTCCGACTTTCGGAATATCGAAATGTTCAGGAAGTTTACTTAAACCTTTATTGAATTAATCTAGTTTTTCCCTATGAGTTGATTTTAATTAATAATTAATTTTTTCCATTTATCTTTTTTTAGTAACAACATCAAATGATTCTTAACTTTTAGTTTTTTTAATTTCTTAAGTAACTTATTAATTTGCTAATTTTTCTACTTATATTTTTTTTTTCTATTCCTCTTCGATTTTTTTTTAATATTTTAAATGTTCTTTAGGTAAAGCCTCTTCAATAGTTCTTTTTTTATTCATTTCTGTTTTTTCTTTTAATTCCTTTACTATATCAGTTGCTGTTTTTCCTTTTAGTTTTAAAATTCCTCCTACTTTCTATTACTAATTCATTTTTTATATATTAAAAATAGAAATATTTATTATTTATTATTTATTATATTTATTTTTTTCAAAAAAATAAATATATATTTAATACATATATATAAATAAATATTTATATATATAAATAAAATAAAACAACTAAATTTAATAAAAACATATTTAAATATGAATAATGTCTACAATGAATAATTCGATTTAGCTATTCATATAATAGAAACACGAACATATATCGAATCTCGTGAAATGCGTCAAAAACTAATCTAAATATTAACAAAACTAGACATTTTTAAATAAATGATGCGTGACCCTACCCTTTCCCATCATTTAAAACCTTATTTAGATTAATTTTGTGATGAATTTTAACCCTAAACATTTTCTCGTGGACAAATTTTATACCATGAAGGTGATATTTAATAAAAATTATATTTCCTATTAAGAGGAAAAGCTATAGAATATACAAAAAAAAGCCTAGAAGATGTCCAAAAAGAGTAATATTGGGAAGCCGAGGCTTAAAAGACCACCTAAGAATATATAAAAGAATAAAATATGTAATTGAATTAATACAGAAGTGAATAAAAGATAAATTTATAATAAAAAATATATAATGAAACGGCATAATTTTATAAAGATAATAAAATCGAAAACCTTCTAAAAATTGATAATAAATACATTTCAAAATATTTCAAAGATGGCATTTGTATATATAAAAAAACTTAAATATATAAGCCAGGAAATACCTTTGGAAATCCTTTATAGAAATCTAATTCTACTCTCCTTTTTTCAGAAAACTCTTTTTTGATTTCTATTTAAGTTTAAAAATATAGTCTTATATTTGATAAACTTATTTCTAAATTAAATTATGTTTTTCATGCTTTAGCGAATAAATTTCCACTTACAAAAAAGGTTATTTTGTATGATTTTTCTTTTTCTTTTTCTGAAATAGTACTTTAGTTTAATTAATCGCTTTTTAAAGAAGGAGAAGAGCCTTCTTTTATATATATAATGAAGGAAGGAGAATTAGATTACAGAAAAAAAGTACAAATCAAAGGCGAAATATTAGAAAAAAGGCTCTGTATGATAAATCCAGGCTAGATTTTCGGACAAGAAGACATATTTAGCCAAACTAGACTTTTTTCAACTTATTCATGTGTAAATAACACTGTAATATATTCTATATAAAAGCATTTTTTATTAATTTTTCAATTCCAAAATTTTCTAAAAGAATCTTGCATGCAATAGACATTATTTTTGAATTAAAAATTACAAGATTTTTACAATAAAAACATACTTTCAATTACTTAAAAAAGCAATAATTTTCATAAAATAAAAATTTAAAACGAAAAACATAAAAAATGGAATATTTTTTCCTAAATAAAAAACTAAAATTTCGGAATAAATGACTATAATAATACACTTCCAAGTTGTGAAAAACCATCCATAAATCTCCAAAAAGGACGCGCTTAACCAGAAAGTATATATTCTCGAATAATTCGTCCTGATTCTGCCTTTAAAAAAGAATTAGATATAGTCAAAAATGAATATTATAATGATATTTAAATAAAAAGTAATAATAATAATAATAATAATAATAATAATAATAATAATAATAATAATAATATTTCAGTTTTTAAATTAAGTAAATTAAGATTAAATACTAAATCTTTAACTGATTTGAAAAAAACTAATAAAGAAAAAAAATAAAATAGTTTTAATAATATCAATAATACATATAATTTATTTTAAATTCAAACTAAGAAAATACATAAGAGAATAATAATCATATAATTGATATATAAAGTAAAGAAGTTTTATAGTTTTAAAATTATTAATATTAAATTAAAGATAGGATTCTATATGAAAATTACATGAATAAATAATCTAATTTAAAATAAAATAAAAATAATAATTTATTATTATAAGAAAAAAATATTCCTTTAGTTTAAAAAAAAATGTGGTTCTTGAAAATAAAAAAATTATGATTCTGAAAATAAAAGAATTTAAAATGAATATATTTAATCATATTTAAAAGATGTAAATAGTAAAAAATTTGAATTTAAATACAGATGAATTATTAAATAATTTACAATATTAAAATATTTAAATGACATTATTTTATATATGATATAAATATATATATATTTATATATATATATTTTATATAATAATTTTATTATTATTAATTTTATATTAATTTACTTTTTATTAATTCTTTATATTTTATCATTTACTAATATTTTTATTATAAAAATCTTAAATTTATTATTAATGAATTAAACATAAATTATACTTATTAATTTAAGTTTACAATTAATATTATTATTTTAAACTTTAGTAAATAATATAATCATTAAAAATAAAAAAAAAAAATTAATTATTATATTTCATCATAATATAAAATAATAATTATAAATTAAAAATATGTATAATATTAAATTTAAATAATTTGATAATTATAAATATATATAATAATAAATTTTAAATTATAAGATATTTATTTATTATATTTTATGATATATATATTTATATATATAACTATTTTTATATGAATATTATATGTTTTATTTAAAAACTTTATCTTAAATATTTTAAAATCAAATAATTATAAATTATAATAGTTTAGATTTTTAAAGTATTTTTTATATTTTATTTTAATTCTAATTATTAAAAAATTAACCCGAAATATTATTTAAAACTTTAATATATTAATCATCATCATTTAATATTATAATATATAAAGAAATTTTTTTATTTGTTTGATATCAAAATTTATAAAAATAAAAAATATTTAATATCTAAAATAATATATAATATATTAAATAATAAGTAATAAATTACAAATATTAATTATTATATATATAAAGTTAAAAATATTTATATATAAAATAATAATATTAACTATTTTTATTATATTAAAAATTAATTTAATAAGTCAAATTAAATTAAAATATATTATATATGTATTTCTGATATTTTTTTTTTATTATATTATAATATATAATACAAAATATATTAATATACGACTAAATATATTTTAAAAAAATCTATAATAAAATATATTTAAAATTATTAATTATATATATTATTGATTAAATTTGAAATTTTTTAAACCTTATAATTAAAAAAAAATTAATCAATATTATAATTATAGCCTATAAATAAAAATAATATTTAATTTAAAATTGTTTTTATTGTATATAAAAAAGTAGATTGCTTATAAATTTACATTATTATTAATATAATTAATTATATTTTTTTTTTGATAATAATAAATTATATTTTTTTTTTTTTTTTCATATATTTTGTATTTAAAAATCTTTATTCATTTTTATCTATCTAAAATCCTTTAAAATATTATTAATAAATTAAATTTTATATATTTTAATATCATTAATTTTAATTATCATATTTTTCTTAACAAAATAGCAATTTTATATATATAAAAATATTTTTTTAAAAAATTGTTTTATTAATTAATATTACAAATAAAATTTTATATTAATTTAATTTTTTATATATATAGAAATTTTATTTATTAAAAAACATGATTTTGTTCTTGATTTAAAAAGTAAGAAAAAAATATTATAAAAATTAATTTTTGAAATAGAAAAAAATAATATCTTATTAATTTTAAAAAGTCAATAAAAAAAATGTTTATAATTAACAAAAAAAAAGGTAAAAAAATCCAATATTTACTTCCATAATAAAATATATATATAAATTGGTTATAAAAAATAATAATATATTATAAATATAATAATAAAAATAAAATATATCTATAACTTAATTTTATATATAAAAAATATATTAAATTTAAAAAAATATTAATAATTTTAACTATATTAAATAGTAAATATTTTTGTAGTTTATAATTATAATATTTTTAAAAAAAAATAAAGGAAAAAATATTTAAAAAATTTGTTATGGATATTAAAAAAATCAATTTATTTAAAAAATAATTGATATTTATTTATATGGCAATAAAAAAAAAAATTATAAATATAATAGAATTTAAGATAAATATAATAAAAAATAAAAGAAAAGCATGTAAAAT